CGCGAGCGTTTGGAAACGAACTAATATACGTCTTCTTTAGTTTTTGGCTGCAGTTTTGCGCTCTGTTTTATGGTTACGGCGGTTTTATTGGAGCTCGGAAGATGTGTACTCAAGAAGTTGTAAAACATGCAAGTATGCGTTAAGAATCCAGAAAATGGACCCGAACTTGCACAAACATGATGTTTTTGGATGAAAGTGAGTTACGGATTTTTTTTTCACGTTTTTCACTGCATCTGTGTTTTTTTTTTTTCATCAAGAAAACATGAAGCGCCACTCAAACGCTTGCCATGATAGCCCACGTCTGCGGATTTAAAGCCCCCAGTAAAATCCAGCTAATGGTTCTAAACCGCTGCATTAATACCTATCATAACAACGTTACCGACGTTTCATTACCTCCAGCTTGCAAAATTTGCAAACTCGTAAATCGATCGACAACTAAAATTCGTCCGACTTACTAGATATCCGCAACGATCTGCCCCCGACCCGAAAATACATCCCTTGCCAGAGTAATGAATAATAAATGAACATTTTTATCTGGCCGGCAATAAATCATGCGATTCGTTTTATCGGGAGCAAGTAAACAATAAACGATTTGTATAAATTCCTCCTCAAAGAATATCGTTCCGGTCAGTGGGTTGACGTTTGCCGGCGGCGGCGACCTTTTGCAGTGTACGCGGTATTCATTCCGTGCCAAAATTAATCAGCACCGGCGTTTTATTCAAATATTGAACGCGGGGGAGTGTGCAGTGTTTAATCAAAGTGGAGCATAATTCGGGCTCAAAACTCTGGCAATTTCCTGTTGTGGTATTGTTTGTTTGTAATATGGCGCTAATTGTTAAAATGAATTAGGGGCTGTGGGACGGCGAACGGGGGTGTATGTATGCATGGACGAAGCGACTCAATAGTAATAGTAATAATAAACGTGATATTTTAGAACGGTTTTACATTTCTGAATGCCACATTAACTAAAAACAATTATGTACATAGTTATAATTGTTTTTTTTTACAATACCACATCTTCATTTTTCTCTGCACACACACACAAGTCGAAGATAAACCATGATTAGTAATTGTGAGAAAATTTCAGACAAGATAGATTTATTTTAAGTAAATCAAATCAATTTTAAATTTAGTGTAAAAATGGTGGATGCGCCGGGATAACAATTAATTAAAAAACATTTTCAAGGTTGTTAAGAAACTTCTGCATAAAATAACATATTTTAGAGTTAGCTATTCGTTAAAGAATCTTGCAATCTAGAGAAAATTCCAGAACCCAAAATACTTGTCCCAAGATTCGAAATCTGGTTTTAAATTGATTCATTTGACCACTTCATTTTTTGTGCACACGCTAGTTTTTCTCTGATCTTGAGAAAATTTATGATAAAAAGGAATCTTTATAAAATAAAATTATTTAGAAAAAACTAGACATTGAAAAGAATGTCTTATTTGTTGAAAAATCTCAAATTCGTCCAAAGAATACAAATATGTTCAATTCCTGAGAAAAAAAAATGGAGAAAAATTAATAATAAAAAAATGGCTGTTCAAGTTCTAATCTGGACACAAAACATAGAATATTTAAATTCCAAATACAAAAAATTCTACTGTTAATTATTTTTTAAATTGGATCACCTACAAAAAAATTGTTTCGACAGAACTTCCTCGCATCTCCACAATTTACAATATGAAATATAACAATTTTTTAGAATTTCAATATTCACAACAAATAACATCATTACAATGAGGTTTTTTTTTCTCTGGACATAGGATAATTAATGTATGTTGGGTTGCATATTCATCCTCCAATGGATTGATTTGGACTTTTAAAAACTGAACATAAGATCACATAAGATTCGTAATAATTGAGGAGTAGGCCATGTCAACGATGACATTTACAGTAAAATTTTTGACGAAATTGTCTAAAAAAGCTCAATAACGTAAATTTTCTGTTCTTTAAAAAACTTATACTTATTACAATACCTTAACATGAAGACAGTATTGCCAAATGTCAATGGCCATATCTTTGACATATCCTAAATCTCGATTAGATTTTATGTTCAGTTTTTAAAAGTAAAAGTCAATCCATTACAAGCAGGTATGCAACCAACTTAACATTAATTATCCTATGTTTACGGTATATAAAACCTTTAAAATGGTAATTTTTGGTTGGGAAACATCGTTTTTACAATTAAGCTCCGCCCCTCGGTCTGACAACGAATGAAAAATTCATCACAACTGTGATTAGGGCGGGTGGGTGGGGCTTATATTCTTTGATTTTTTTTCCTTAATATACAGTTTCCTTTCAACAACATCTTATTTAAAAACAACTTTCGCACAGTAATTTCTTGCTATTTAAATAAGAATAATTTTTGCAATCTCATCCTGACGTACGATGACGTCACTTTCACGTGAGCTACCTGAGCAAAGGTCACATTTTTCGGTCCTCTGTGTTTAGTTTTGATTTCGGTTTGATGGCGGCAAGATCGTAGCGTCCTTTTCGCGAATTTCTAATTTATTATTAATAAATATTAACGAAAATGTGCTGTGTTAGTGCTGCGAATACGAATGAAAATACATATTTTTCCGAAAAGTTTTAATTTATCCTGTTCCGTGTTTCGTTTACTAGATAATGTTTAAATTTTGCGTAAATTTGCGAAACGATTGAAGTTGATCGATCAAAGCTATAAATTTTCACGATACAATTAAATAAAGTTTAGACATAATTAATATTATTTATAATGTCCAAATATGGTAAGTATGAATATATGGTAATTAAACCGGAAACCATTTTACTAAAAATACGATGGTATTAAATAAATTTGTTTAAATATTGTTAAATTATCCATAAAAATGTCTAATTTCCCGGCCAAAATATGAAAAATAATTTTTGCAATGTCATTGTGACGTACGATGACGTCGCTGTCACGTGAGCTACCTGTCCAAAGGTCACGCTTTTCGATCCTTTGTGTTCAGTTTTAATTTGTGTTTGATGGCAGCAAGATCGTCGCATCCTGTTGGCGTAAAAGTAGAGGGTTTTCGCGAATTTCTAATTTATTATTAATAAATATTAGGGAAAATATGTCGTGTTAGTGCTGTGAACACGAATGAAAGTGGATATTTTTCCAAAGAGGACCGAAAACGATTTCAGTTTTAATTTATCGGATTCCGTGATTAGTTTACTCGACAATGTTTAAATTTTTGAAAAATTTTCGCTTTTCCGCCTTCTTATTTGTTTCTGTCGTGTAAAAGTTACAATTTATTGCCAATCTTTTTAATTTATTGCTAGTGATATATGAATAAAATGCACTCGTGTTGTAACTTTTCGTTAATTTTTAAATTCATAAGTGGTAGTTGGAAGAACACAGAATCGTTTTAGAACGTTTCTGAAAGAAAATGAAGTGAAAATCATTGGTCCCCTTTTAATTTAATTAGTGAAATCAAATCATACAAACGCTGCTTATAAATTACCATCACATAATTAAACAATATTTAAACATAGTTAAAATCATTCATAATGTTTAAATATGATAAACATTAATATATCATAACTAAACCGAAACGCGTTTTCCTACAAGCCCGAAATTATTAAAAACAAATAATTTTGTTTAAACATTATTAAATTAACCCCGAAAATGTGCAATTTCCCGGTGTCAAAATATGAAAAATAATTTTTGCAATTTCACTGTGTCATACAATGACGTCACTGTCACGTGAGCTACCTATCCAAAGGTCACGCTTTTCGGTCCTTTGTGATCAATTTAGATTCCGATCTGGTGGCAGCAACATGGGAGCTCCGGTTTGGCTTAAAATTAGGGTTCTTTTCGCGAATTTGTAATTTATTATTAATAAATATCAATGAAAATGTGTTGTGTTAGTGCTGTGAATACAAAAGAAAATGGATATTTTTCCGAAAAGGACCGCAAACGGGGCCATTCTCCCTACAGAAATGAAACTAGATTTTATTGTGAACCGTTTCGAAAACTCCTTGTCGGGATCTTGGGGGTTATTTTACCTTTTAATTTTTGCAAGAGAGTTGTGTATACTGAACTTTGTACAAATTTTAGTGAGACGTTAACATGAATTCAGATAATATAGAACACTGATTAAAATAAAATAAAAAAACATTATTTATAAAAAAAGTTATCTCAGAACTTCGTCCGAGTCGTTTCGCCAACTCTAGTCGCAAACTCGCCAACTCTCGCCACATTTTCGCCCCTTTTTAAAATTATCATACAGTAATTCACTTTTTGCTGAGTACTTTTGTCTCCTAAAAATGCCAATTTCCCATCGACAGTTTTCTCGTCGGAACTTTTATAATAAAAGTCTGGCAGAAGTCGCACAGTGCCGGTGATCGATTTTAACTACACTTCCAAACAATGTTGGAATTTATTAGGATTTTTCCCCGTATTATGTAAATTGAGTTGAAAACATATTTGCAGACGTTTTATTAGTGGAGATTTCACTTGGGCATTTGTATGTGAATGGAAAAGCGCATAAAAGTCCCTTTGTGTCCTGAGAGGAGGAATTCCGCCCGAATGTTCGTTCCGCCGAAGATTATGATTGAATAATTTTTCGCATCACATTTGATAGCCCTTTATCGGGTGTCTTTTACATTCCGGAGTCGATGTATCGATCAGGTCGATGAGGGTGAGAACGTGATGGCCATGCGGTATTGTGATTATGGGGTTACGTAATGAAGGCCAAGGAGGGGTCGAAAAAAATTACACGACAAATAAATTAAAACAAAAAGTCATCAATTAAAAATGAATAAAATAACAGAAAAAATAAGACGAGGTCAACGATTTTTCCGAGGAGACGACCCCAAAGTGGTTTAATTTCCGCTAAAGCAAGCTTTTACGACGCTTTTACAGTCTTTCTGTACATTTTCATTGTACTTTTTATTTCCTTTTAAGCACAGTTTTTACGAAAATTAAACCGACATAAAAAATTCTGCTACACTACCAAAAAAAAATGTTGCGTTTTAATATGTATTCAGATTTTACCTTTATTCTGTAGTCGTCGTCCTCGCCTCGCTCCGTCCGCCGTCGGCCCGATGCGTCGCGACGCCCCGCCGAAAAGTTACTGGCGCGTTTTCGCGACAAACACGGCGTCGCGACGCGCATCGAATGCACCCCACAGTGCGTCGGCGTCGGGCCACGTGCGTCGGATTGAGGTTAAGGAAACAAACAAACCCCCTCGAAGCCGGGAGACGGGAGCGGGCCGGAACTTCCTCCAGATACGATCTGATACAAAAAGGAGGAGACGGAACAATTTCACCTAGAAAGCTGGAGAAAATCGCGTTTTTATCTGATAATAAAACAAACGTTCGGAGGAAATTAATAGCGACGAGCCGCCGCCGGCGGTGGGGCTGGATTGTGGCCCGGGGGCGGGAACCGATTTGTGTAGGGAAATTCGGGAATGGCGTTTTTTGAGGGGCGAAACTGTTGAGTCTTTCGTTTAAAAAATTGCGGGAAGGTTTTAACCTGCCTGAAGTATTAAAAAAAAAATGTCAAACGAGTCTATAGCGCGTTAACAAATAAATTAGTAATAAGCAGGATCTCGAGCACCCGGCACGCAGGAGCTGTGTTTATTAAAACTCGGTAGTTTTGTATACACAGCAGGATGAAATATTTCCAGTCAAAATCAACAAAAAATTAACATCTAAAACAAGAGACAAATTCGGAATTAAATTCCTTTGAGCAAGCATTCGTTTGACAAAAAAATTTTTCATCTAAATACTGATAATAACAACGCTGTGTAACAATAATAATTATTTTATGAAATAAATGCCAAAAGCTATAACAGTAAAACCGATGGAAATATTTGAACTGACGTAAATCGATTATTGAAAATTAATAAATTCAAAATTCTGCGGACCGTGAATAGAGTTATTAATTAAATTTGTTATTGTTAACAACTTGTTTCGGGGTTGCTTTGTATCCCCATAACCCTAAATTATTAATTTTAATTAATATTACATAAATTTTGAATAATTGGGGGTAGTTTCTATTGGTCTGCTTGAATATGTTATTCACTATTTTTGTAATTGTTTTTAGCGTAGAAATAACATGATGTGCAACTGTTATTGACAGGCTTTTTGCAGAAATCAGAATCCATGAAAAAATTATTTAATTTGATTTACAATAATTTTTGTGTTTTTTTTTTTAATAATTTGAAGCTGAAAATAGTAATTTCACTTTAGTTTATTTCAAAAATTTATGAATTTTGATTTTCATTGAATATTTTTTGGTAGGTTCGGTTAAATCTAAGTGAAATAATCATAGTTATATAAAACAAAAAATTTTTCGAAAAAAAAAAACACCAAGAGTTGTCTTATATTCTTAAAAAAAAAAAACAGAAACACTAGGACTATCAAGATTTTTTCAAATTCTTCGGAAACTACCATCCAACCATTAGGAGCCCCCTTGATTCTTTCCAATCCTTGGAAAAACATCGGGAACCCCCGAGATTTTCTCAAATTTTCCACAAACCGAACATCAGGAGCCTTCGTGTTTCATACAAACCTTTGAAAAAACACCAAGGTCCTTTAGATTCTTCCAAATTATATAAAATTCTTTTAAAAAGAAAAGACTAGGGACCCCAGAGATTTTTTCAAAATTTTCTGCAAACCATGTATTAGGAGCTCCCATGAATCTTTCAAATCCCGAAAAAGCACCAGAGTCTTCTAGATTCTTTTCTATTCTACAAAAAATACTAGCGATCCCAGAGATTTTAGAAAAAAAAAACCACCAGGGGCCCTTCAGATTCTTTTTTATTCTTCCAAAAATAAAACAAGAAAAGCCCCCAATTTTTTTTAATTCTTCCCCAAACCAAACGTAAGAAGCCCTTATGTTTCTTTCAAATCCATGAAAAAACATCAGGATCTTCTAGATTATTTTCTATTATACAAAACACTAGGGATCCCAGAGTCTATAAAATTTTTGAAAAAAAAAAACACCACATACTCTTGAGGTTCTTTCTAAGTTTCCAAAAATAAAACACTAGGGGCTCCGAGATATTCTTACATTTTTTTCGCAAACCAAACTTTGGAACCTTGGAGATTTGGAAAATTTTTGGAGAAAAAACAGCAGGGGCCCCAGGATCCTTTCAAAATTTTCCAAAAAGAAAACACTAGGGACCACTTAGATTTTTTTAAATTCTTCTGTAAATCAAATAGAAGCCCTCATGATCTTTTCAAACTCTTGAAAAAACACCAGGGTCCCCTAGATTTTTTCAAATTGTATAAACAAGAACACTAGGTATCCCAAAGATTCAATGAATTTTTCGAAAAAAAAAAACACCAGCAGTGCCAGAGATTCCTTCAATTTCTTCGAAAAAGAGAACACTAGGGATCCCAGAGATTCTATAAATTTTTCGAAAGAAAAAACCAAAGTTCCTTGAGATTCTTTCAAATTTTTCCAAAAATAAAACACGAGAAGCGTCCAAGTTTTTCTAAATTTTTCCAAAAACCAAATATTAGATAATTCTTTTAAACTAAAGATCTTTTTAAACCGTGCAAAGAAACACTACGGATTCCAGAGATTTTATAAATTAAAAAAAACACCAGGGGCCCTTGAGAATCTTTCCAAATCTTAAAAAAATAAAACACTAGGGTGCCCGAGATTTTTTTTCAAATTCTTACACAAACACAATTGTTAAAAAAAAGCACTATGGATCCCAGAAATTCTATAACTTCTCGAAAATTCGAAAACACTAGGCGCCCCCGACATTTTTTCAAATTTTTCTACAAACCCAATAAAACACGAGAGGTTTCCAAGATTTTTTCAAATTGTTCAAAAAACACATGTTAGAAGTCCTTTTGATCCGTGAAAAAACACCAAGGTCCCTTAGATTCTATATATTTTTCGAAAAAACACTAGCGGCTCCCGAGATTCTTTCAGTTTCTTCCCAAAAAAGAAAATATTAGGGCCACCGAGTTTTGGTCAAATTTTTCCAAAAAAAAAATATTAGGAACCCGTGATATTTTTCAAATTTCTTTACAAACTAAACCTTAGCCCCCGTGAATCTTTCAAATCATTCAAAAACAAAAAACACTGTACCCTCTAGATTTTTTCAAATTGCCAGAAAAATCAATTTAAGCCTTTGATAACGCCCTTTATTAACAGCAAAATTAGTTTTTTAATTAGAAGTCATTAACAACCGTCCCATCCTGTCAAGTTTGTTTAAGTATCCTCTGATCGACTCTGTCCAGAGGAAATTAAACGCATCGCGCGATCATCTGAACCAATTGGTTGCCCTTTTTTAACCCTAATTTATCCCGACACAGCCCTCAATTACAATAAAGTCCCGTGACTTCTTCCCGCGAAACCAATCGTGTTTACGCCGAAATAATGTTATTTTGATACGCGCCCGCGGCGACTTGAACATATTTACTTTCCTCCCCTTTTTGTATATATTATAAATTTAAATCTCGATCCGCCGACCCCTAATTGAATTTAGAGTGCCCCGCTTATGTCCACGTCCCCGGAAACAAACGGCCTCGCTCCGGACCGAAATATATAGCTGCCGCGCACTCTAATTGCAACAAAATAAATAAAGTAGCCGCAATCTACTCACTGCGCCGATAAATCAAAACGAACAAGAAATAAATACATCAGCAATGATTTACACGCGCCGAAAAAATCCGAAAATCCACCCAAATTAAAAGAAAAGCTTTACGACATGCAGTAAAGTCGAGATCTTCAGCTTGCAGACTCTTCGACGTCGGGGTCGCGTTATTTCGCTGATGTTTTGTCGCGCCATCGGTTCCGATTTCGGCCGTTTGCGGCGCTGGGGACGGCGGGTTTAGACCGGGTTTTATTTTATAGCGATTAGCAGTGGCGGCGCGGGGGGCGACGACTAGTTGGCGGGTTGTTGAGGGCGTTGTGGGGTTTTGATGCGGGATTTCGGTGGATCTTGTCGGAAAGCAAAAACGTGAAGTCGTTGTAATTTAAACGTTTTATTTGTGGTTGGTTTTTAGGAGTTGAAGTTTGTTTAATTTCAGTGGTGGATATTTGGTGATTGTGGGAATTAGTGACAAACTCAGATGTCTTTATGAAATTTCAGTAAAAACAGAATGCTTTTCGAGATGTTGTCCTGATGTACAGCGGATTAACTAACAAAGACACATGAATTTTTAATTATTGATCACTTTATTCGTTGTTTTTTTTCTCAAATTTCTTCAACATATCCGCCAACACGGGGCCTCCAAGTTTCTTTCAAATCCACCCAAGAGCAAAATATCATAGACCCTTAAGATTCCTTCAAATTCTTCGACAGATAAAACATTAGGGTGCTTCAAATTCGTTCAAATTTTTCCAAAAACAAAATACCAAGGTCCCCAAACTATATCAAATTATTTCAAGAAAAAAACACCAAAGGCCCGTGAAATTCTTTCAAATTATTTCAAAAATTAAAGATGGAGAACCCCCGAGTTTCTTTCAAATTGTTCCTTAAAAAAAACATCGTGTACTCTCGAGATCAAACATAAAACACAAGAGAACCACCGAGATATTTTCAAATTCTTGCTAAAAGAAAACAGTGGAAATTCCCGAATTTTTTTCAAATTTTTAAAAAAATAAAACACCAATGCCCTCTGAGATTCTTTCAAATTACTTCAAATTAAAACACCAAGGGCTACCGAGTTCAAATTATTCCGAAAACAAAGACATCACGGAATTTCAAAATAAAATATGCGAGTATTTCAAATTCTTCCAAAAAAAGACCATGGATTCCCAAATTTTTTTTAATTTGGTCACATAGGGACCGAGATTCTTTCAAATTCTTCAAACATAAAACATCAGGGCTCTCCGAGATTCTTTCAAATTATTCGGAAAATAAAACAAGAGCTGACGAGATTCTATCAAATTTTTTCAAAAACAAAACACCAGGAACTCGCGAGGTTTTCTCAAATTATTTCAAAAAAGAAAATATCAAAAGTTTCAGAAATTGTTTAAAATTATTTTAAAAACAAAACACCACAGCCCCCTGAGATTCTTTCAAATTATTTAAAAAATAAAACACCAAAAATTTCCGAGTTTCTTTCAAATTGTTCCAAAAACAAAGACACCTTGG